AACTTGCGTCCAATGTGTTTCACTGATCCCAAGCACCTCTAAATTGTATCTCCTCATTTCTGCAGCAATTTGGAAAACTCTCCCAGTCTCCCACATTGTGCGAGCATTCCATGTACCTAAATAAATGGTTGCTCTGGTTGTCAGAAGGGGCATCGGCCTCGTGACTTCCGAAGAAACTCGGCTTTCATCATGAGGCATCATAATTCTTCTAAACGAAGACCTCCTGACTCCCAGGGCAGAGTTTAAATGGTTTGAATAATTTTTTCTGGTTAGCGTTTTTTTAGCGAGTTAGTTTTCTACGGGATGGGGTCGCTAACCCCATGCCCAACCCTCCTCCTTTATCCGGGCTTGGGACCGGCAGTAGCCCCCGGAAAGGGACTCCAGGCGGAGTTGTAAATAAAACTTTGTAACTGATAAATAAAGATCGAACTGATGATTGACCGATAGCTCTGTTTCAATATCTTAATGATATAACAGAGATCAAATTTACATGTTTATGCCTTTGGAATCGGTCACTTAATTTAGTACTAATAATTGTAGTCGGTTACAAACTGCTCAGCATAATAAGTGAATAGATATCCGAAGGCAAGGCAACTGGTTAACAAATTGTGTTTTATTCTACGTAGTTTAAACTCAAAATATTCGACACAAAATAAAGATTTATGAAATATGTCTGGATAGTTCATGGTTTCTGGGTATGTGTCTTATAGGTTATTCATGAACTTGTTAATATTTAATCACAATTATTTGGTTGTTTTACCATGAACTACATATTGCAGTAAAAAATACTCTTCTAATAGAATTGACGAATCTGATACTGTGTATAGGAAAAAACTCACAGAAATAAATTAGTTTCTTAACATATTATTCTTCTAGATTAAGTAGTTTTGTGAAGGTTATTTTATTCTGAAGGTAGTACTCGCTATCGACAAATCTTGGAGTGTCAGTTAAATAGGTGTTTCGTGCTGGAGTGAAATTTCTGTCTTGTGTGTACATATAAGTTCACCAATAATCACACTTCAGATTTTCACGTTTCAAAACATTAAACCGATGTATCTGGTTTATTGACCACCATTTGTAACTTCAGGTAGCTCGTGATGTAGCTTGATCACCATCTAGTATGTCTTTTACTGTTTAAACGTTTTAGTTTATCACAGTGGAAGGTTGTCGATTCTTAAAATCTTATAAAATAACTGTATTGTCAGTGTATTAAATTTTCCTTAGTACTGTATATTTAATAATATCCAATTACCCCTAATCTAATTGTTTATAAAACATCAATAAAGAAACCGTATTTTGTTTTACGCAAACCTAATTAGCGTTGATAGGATTTGTAGTCATATAGAAATGAAATAAATCAAGATTTCCTCTTCATTAATAATGGAATGCCATTGAAAACCTCATGTAAGACGCTGTCAAGTTTACAACTAATCGATTTTAACTATTCATATTATTCTTAGAAAATCACTTTAAATAATTATCAGGTTTGTTATTACTTAAATATCTTAGTTGTATACTACTAGATAAATAACAAAGTTTGTTCCTCTTAGCTCTCTGTGCTCTCAACTTATTATAAGAACTACTTCAGGAAGCCTAAGATGTCTAGAAAAACTTGTTTTAATCGAACTACGGTGTTAAAACTTGAAATAACTTTATCTTAATAAATCTTAAGATGAGATCAATATAAACTCATCATAACTGAAGAAGCATCCCTCAACACTGTCAAGTAATTGAGACATTCTCTTAAGAATGCTTTCCTTACGAAGTATGTAATCAAAATACATAAAGGACATTACTTTTTGCAAGTGGTATTGTTTTTCATTTTAAAGTACAATTAAAACCCTTAACACTTAGACAACCGGCTATCATAGATCTTCATTTGTTTGATATGAACATTTGAAGTTTTGCTTTTTAAACTAAAATAACATATTTGATAATTGACCTGGAAGCCCTGGACGGCCATTTCGTCCTGTTGTGGGACTCTTCAGCAGTGCGCATTCACAGTCCCACTCACGGTATTCGAACCAAGAGCCTTTAGTCTCGCGGGCCTTTATATATCATACACATATATGCATTGAAATAATTAATCATATATTATCGTCTTCTGTTCGCCATTCAACCAGAAAACTTTAATTCCTCAAAAATGTGCAATACTTTACATAATTCTCTTGTTAATACAATAATACAAAATCACATTTTTCAATTATATAAATTAGGAAATAAACTGGTTGCTTCCCTAAACACTTCTAAAAATAGATCAAACTGGATAGATGTCATCATTTTCCTTTTGCATCAATTAAGTTTTGATTATCTATCTTCTTAATTCAAAAGTGTGGATGAAAAGTTATCATTACTGTTATTGTTTGAATTTCGGTTACAGCATTTCAACAATTATGTTAATTTGAAAAACGCTTCATGAGAATTTACCACGTTTAGTGGATTTGTGAAGATTATTGACTTTTATGGTTCTTACCATGAATTGACCTTTGTTAGACAATAATTGAAAATCAGATAGCACCGAATGTCTACTTCGTTTGGGAATGTGACTCTTCAAATGTTTTTAAAAGTTGTCTGATTAAAGTCAGTTCATGATGTGATCTATACAAAATGATTTACTCATTGCTACCTCACGATCGACTAAAAATCACTTTCAATACAAAATACATAATTTCTCGCTGTCTACATATCTCATTTACGGGTTATGTTCATGCCAGTGTTTACATTTAAATCGATGCAATTATTCATATACAAATTTTACATAAAGGACCCCATATTTACTCGGTAGTCAAACTATTCGCTTACATTTCACAAATATTCATATAAATAATAGTTGTATTTTTATTTACTGCAGTTTGAATAACTTAAGAAACTATCTAACCGTAAACTTTCGTAGATTGTTGATTAAGAATAAGTCAATTCAGTGTATATATAGTTATACTAGTTGAATTCAGTTTTTCACTTGAATCAATTTATTGCATATTTTAACCGGTTTAGTTTCTAAGCTGGTATATATATTTCATAATTTACAGAAGATAATGCTAATAATTACAAGGTAATTTAATTTATAGATTTGTTTGAAAATATAACGTATATTAAAATAGCAACTAATTTGAGTAACAAACTGATGTACCACACTAACACTCTAAAATAGATTATGAAGTAACATCTACAATGAAAATCAATATATCAGTCAGTTAGTGTAGAAACTGACAATAATCTGCATCTGCTAAATTATCTCATTGCTTCAACAAAGGCAAGATAAATGATAAATAACACTGAAAATAAAGATTTTCAGTAACGTAAAGAATGAATTTATTTTCATTATTGTTATCTATTATTGATCAATATCACCACACCCACTACATTTTAGTTTAATAAACAGTAATAAATTACATTAAATATATGTATAATGAGTATACTTTAGAACTTCATCATTTTGTTTCTTTAAATGTTTTCAGCCCTGAACTACTGGAACAACTATGGATTCAGTTATATCGTTACTTACCAGGTCCATCAATGGGGCCAAAGCTATCTTCTGGTAGTTATCTTTTATTTTGTCATAACCTATATAAATTTTGATTTAATAGAAAATATTTTAATGATATATGTTTAGCATAATAATAATAGCTTTGTTTATGGATTCTCAGCTAGAATCCTGGATATCTTCGTCATGTTTACAATTTTTGGTATTCCGTATAAGTGCTTCTTTTAAGGAGTCTTCCAAATAAACAAAATATAAATATTTCATAAAGTATTTTATATTAAATAATCTACAAACATCCTATAAAGTTATAGTCCAGCATCAACAATTCAATTGTTAAAACGAATAATAACAGAATTTAACGCATAAATAATACGAATGTTTCTTTCATAGCAGTTGTACTAAATGACTTGTCGAATAGAAATTTTTTATGATCAGAATGGAGTTTATGGATTTTGTTGTTATTTTAATAGTTGAATTCATGAGTCGAATACCTTGTGCGGGATCGTAGATACGCACTTCTGAAGAGTCCAATACTACGACGAAACGGCGATTCGGTGCTTCCAGGTGGTCTAGCTTAGATTGACTCAGGAATTCAACTGTTAAAATTTATTTTTAAACATTAAATTATTTAAAACAATAAAGGTGACATTCATTGACCAATATTTACACACTCTACTTACTATAGAAGATAATTAGTTATTTATCAAAATTCTTGTTTAATTTTATCAGAATATGCACGAATTGTTCTCAGCAGTTCTGAAGAAAAGTTAGATATTGAAGTATAGTCAAATAAATAGTTCAAAGTTTAAAGACTAATCAATTGAATGAATCTAAACATTAATTTGTGTTACAGATTGAGAAATAAAACTAAATTTTATCATCTTTGTATAAACACGTGTAAATATTGTGTAAAATAAGTATACAGCTTTATACTTATACAATAGTACTAACTATTCTGGTTTCACTTTCATAAACGTTTTATGAAATAATGTTTACAGTGTTTGTTATACAGATCAAATGAATCCATAGTCTTATATTAATAAGATTATAATTCCGTAAAGTTTTCAAATCCTCCTAGTTACTTCCGTGCCAATTTCAAATTTTTATTTCAATTAAAAATTTATAGAAAGTATTGTATACCGTAGGATTCTTAGGTAAGTATGAACTCCTTTGACGACAGACCATAAAATAAGTTTTAAGTTTGAATCCGAGCCTTTCTGTTAAATATTTAAACACTTCTACTGTTAAATTGACATTCAGTCTAGATTAACGTTCACATAACGCACTGTAATTATAAGTCAAGATAAAAATAGATTTAACCATTAAATTTCTTCGAGTTTTCAGTGTAATCTCTTATTGCACATACATATAAATATATATCTATGAGTATTTTCAACAGAGATGGATGAAATCTAACGGTGAAGTTCAAGACGCACGTTTCATTCTATCTAAAACGTGTCAGCTGGATATACCTGCATCTCAATGACTGATTAACATTAATGAAAGGATCCAAACAGTCAATATGAAAATGAATATAAGTATTTCCAAAACTAAACGTTAAAATTATCATTATCTATTTAAACAATGATCAATGTTCACGTCTTTGAATCTGACTGTGTTCCATTTATTCTGTAGATTTACCTGCAAATATTGAACTTTCTGTAAGCGTCGATAATTTGGAATTATTATATCATAAAAATCAATTGGTAAGTCATCTTATAATTTGTTTATGGTTACTACGTAAACTATTGTATAAAGATAATATTAGTAATGCTTGTTTCAGGTGGTTATTTTGTGTGTGACTAGTTTACTTTACTAACGTATATATCATATTAGATTTTTGTTAGACAATCGTGACTAGTAGTAATAAAATCAATCAATTTACTAACATCACTTTCAAATAAATTTAAGTTTGAAAGATGCACTAAATGTAAATGATTAAAATAAAAGCAAGATCCAATATATAGTATTCAATTGTTTAATCAATATGATTTATTTATTGCATGATCTATCATTATAAGATAGTACTATTATTCAATGAAACATTATAGACAATAGATACTAACAAATATAAGCATAATTTATGAATTTTTATGTTTTTGTTTCAATTAATTTATTCATCCTGAAGTATCATTGGTAGATTTGAATCATTTTTATTTCCTAATCGAAAATTTCAACTTGAACTAATAGTAGTTCGTTTATTTAGGGTTTCATAATTTAACGATATATATATATATATATATAATTGAATGATGTAATCATATCATGCACAGATCACGTTAATAGTTAGTTCCTATGATAAGTCTTTATCAAACTAAAACTAACATAACCGATATGACATTCTAAACATAAATTGTAGGATAAAATGTTTATGTCTCAATAGTAAGTATCATTTAATTGATTATGTTTTTGACAGATTTCACTATAAATTTGAATATTTCTTACTGTGAACGTTGAACATCTAGAATCATCAAGGATGCCGACCAGCTCAGTGGTCTAATGTTTGAGCGCTCGCGCGCAAGACTGATAGGTTCTGGGTTCGAATCTCGCGAGGCGGGATCGTGGATGAGCACTGTTGAGGAGTCCCACAATAGGATGAAAAGACCATCCAGTGCTTCCAGGTTTTCCATGGTGGTCTAACTTCAATTGACTCATGATTTCAACTATTGATATTCAAATGACTTGGGTTTTTAATAATCATCTGACTAAAGTTAATCCATTGTATGAACCATCAACAATATTTTCTTTTTCTTTTCTTTTTGTTTTGTACTCTAAATGAAACGAAAAAAGTTGTACACAAAAATACTTAGTCATCAATACAATTGTCACGAAATGAAATTCATGAATTAAGCTTTATTTTTAAATTTTAGTGAAATTGTATTTTATTCAAAGTTTTTGATTAAAATAAAAAAAGTAAATTGATTTTTAAACAATAATTTTTTTAGCTTCTTTTTTTTCTTCCAATATAAAAAACAATAAGTTAAACTTATTTCATTACGTTTTCATTTAAATTGTCTTGTTTGTTTGTCTGTTTGTTTGTTTTGGTTTTTTTTTGTTTTTTTATTTACAAATAAGCATAAAAATATAAAACCTACCAAGAATACTATAAATGGTACATGTAATATACTATAGGATTATAAAAGTAAACTGATTTTGTCTACTGATTGACAGTTAAATATACAAATAAACAGATATAGCTTATATTTATTTCATAAAATCTAGTTTGTTATCATTTACCAAATCTTATTATTCATAATTTGTAATTTGTTAGTTAGTTAGTTGTTAGTAATACGATTGATGAAATAAGAGAAAAGTTACTAAAAAGAAAATCATTTTATACATAAAATATTACATATTGTACAGTGACTAGTAATGAAATAAAAGTTGAAAGTAGGTATCTTTTTTTCACAAATTAGAAATAATCTGGCAAATGTAAATTGACATTTTAACTTTTGTACTCCAACGGTAACTCAACACTTTTAGTTGTTAATTTAAATATTAATAGTTGAATTCAAAAGTTGACATAGGTTAGACCACCAATGAAAATCTGGAAGCACTGAACGGTTGTTTCGTCCTAGTATGGAACTCATAACATTCGGTCTGACACGCAAACGCTTAGCCTTTTTTGAAGTTTCATTTCACGGATACAGTAGAGATCAAGACATTAGTTTAGAAACCTTATAGATTAGTGAGTGACCAATAAATTTAACTTCTAAATTAAAACCCTTACAGTTACTAACATATACTTATTTATCAGTAGCTTATTATGTGAATATAGTGAAAAGAATAAAAGTTTCTAAGATACCAAAGGAAACATTAAATTTGATAAGAATGTTTGTAGCTAGGTTGATGCTTAAATTATTACTCAACAAAATGGTCATGTAAAGCTAATGAGTTGATGTTATAACTAATGACAGTCATATTAAAAATATGTGGTTACATAATATACACAGTAAGGATTAAAATGAAACTAAATATTTCAATGGGCAAAAGAAATATAGGATAATGGAATTACATGAATATTTTGTTGTTTTGCTAAATATCAATATCCATGTGATGTCAATCTATTGGTAATAGTGTATGACATAACAAAACGTAAAATAATTTGGAACATGAATAGTTTACATTAGTTATATTGCTTTGTATACTCTAAACTTTCAAAGAAACTCTCCGGAAATCACCGTAAACCAGAACGACCAGTGAATAACAAGGAAGGCAAGATAATCAACAACATTGGAAAACAACGAAACAGGTGGGTAGAACACTTCAAAGAACTCTTGGATCGACCAGCCCCACTGAACCCACCCAACATCGAAGCAGCACTCACGGACCTCCCAATTGATGTTGACCCACCAACAATTGAAAAAATCAGCATGGCTATCAGACAAATCAAGAGTGGCGAAGCAGCAGGACTAGACAGCGTTCCAGCAGAGGCACTGAAAGCAGACGTAGCGGCAACTGCAAGGATACTCCAAACTCTCTTCAGAAAGATCTGGGATGAGGAACAGGTACCAAAAGACTGGAAAGAAGGACTTCTAGTCAAAATACCAAAGAAAGGCAATCTCAGCAACTGTGACAACTACAGGGGAATCACTCTTCTCTCAATACCAGGAAGTCTTCAACAGGGTATTGTTAAACAGGATGAAGGACTCCGTAGACGCACAACTTCGAGACCAACAGGCAGGATTCCGTAAGGATAGATCGTGCACAGACCAAATTGCAACTCTACGGATCATTGTGGAACAATCAATTGAATGGAACTCATCACTCTATATCAACTTCATCGACTACGAAAAAGCATTTGATAGCGTGGACAGAACAACCCTATGGAAGCTTCTTCGACACTACGGCGTGCCTCAGAAGATAGTCAATATCATACAGAATTCCTATGATGGATTAAACTGCAAAATCATGCATGGAGGACAGTTGACAAAGTCGTTCGAAGTAAAGACCGGTGTCAGGCAAGGTTGCTTACTCTCACCCTTTCTCTTTCTCCTGGTGATCGACTGGATCATGAAGACATCAACATCTGAAGGGAAGCACGGGATACAGTGGATAGCTAGGATGCAATTAGATGATCTAGACTTCGCAGATGATCTGGCTCTTCTATCGCACACACAACAACAAATGCAGGAGAAGATAACCAGTGTAGCTGCAGCCTCAGCAGCAATAGGTCTCAATATACACAAAGGGAAAAGCAAGATTCTTCGATACAACACAGCATGCACCAATCCAATCACAATTGACGGGGAAGCTTTGGAAGATGTAAAAACCTTTACATGTTTGGGCAGTATCATCGATGAACACGGTGGATCTGATGCAGATGTGAAGGCACGGATTGGCAAAGCAAGAGCAGCATATTTACAACTGAAGAATATCTGGAACTCAAAACAATTAGCAACCAACACCAAGGTCAGAATTTTCAATACAAATGTGAAGACAGTTCTACTGTATGAGGCGGAAACCTGGAAAACTACGAAATCCATCGTCCAAAAGATACAGGTGTTTATTAACAGTTGTCTACGCAAAATACTTCGGATCCATTGGCCAGACACTATAAGCATCAACCTACTGTGGGAGAGATCAAACCAGATCCCAGTGGAGGAGGAAATCAGGTAGAAGCGCTGGAAGTGGATAGGACACACATTGAGGAAAGCACCGAACTGCGCCACAAGACAAGCCCTCACATGGAATCCTCAAGGCCAAAGGAAAAGAAAAGAAGACCGAAGAATACATTACGCTGAGAATTGGAGACAGGCATGAGAAAAATGAAGAAAAATTGAATAGAATTAGAAGGGAAGGCCCAGGACAGAGTGGGTTGGAGAATGCTGGTCGGCGGCCTATGCTCCATTGGGAGTAACAGGCGTAAGTAAGTACTCTAAACTTTATGGTTTGATTATGTAGAAATGTTTTAATGGACAATATTATCAGTGCCTATCTCATGAACAAAATCTAATATTAATTCCTACATTTAATGAGTGAAACAAATCCCAACTATAACTGTACACATTTAAACAATTGATTCAGAGTGATTACAAATAATTTTACAAATATTGACTGATATAAAAATAAATTTTGTGTTTTTTTAACCCCGCAAAATATTTGAAGTAAAACCATGCATGCCAATTATTGTTACTTATTGATAATTCATAATCACTTTGATTATAATAAATAAATTCGGTTTGTTTCAATCTGTCTTACGTAACTTTATTTTTTATACTTTCGATATTAATTTATTGGAAAGAATGTTACAATTATACTTTCAAGTGAATCAATGATTTTCAGAGTTGACGTGACAATTAAATCAACTGTTGATTAAAATCTGTCCTAAATCAAAGTATCATTCAATTTGTATGCTTTTAGGTTGAATTATGTAATGATTGTGAGTTTGATCTTAAGGTAAAATAAATGATATGAGACATCTCTTCAACTTTTTCTTATAATCATTAACTTCATGGTTTACTTCTTGGTTTGACCTTAGTTAAAGAACCACTGAAGACTGAATAGTCTTAAATGGCTTTTTCGTTCTAACATGTGGCACCTCAGTAGTTAGTATCCACCATCCAGTGGAAAAAAGAACCAAAAACATTAGATCTAGTGAATAAAATTTATTCTTTATATCACTGAGTCAAAATAGTGCACAACCATCTCCTAATGTTGTTGTTGGGAAGCTGTCTTACATTTGACATGGTTAAACTTCGTTGTC